TATTTTCAGAGACAGGTTTTCAGTGAAACCGGAGCTCACCAATTCTTCTTGGCTGGCTGGCCAGTGAGGCCCTGGGATCTGCCTTTGTTTCCTTCCCCAGTGCTTAGGTTACAGATACGTGCCAGCACTTGGCTTTTCTATGGCTTCTGGGGACTCAACTTCAGGTCCGCATGCTTACAGGACAGGCACCTTACCCACTGAGTACCTCCCCAGCCCTAAGCTTATTACTTTTTAATGTACATTTTTATGGAATGCAAAAATCTAGCCTAGCATCTTTGCAGTCTAGCAAGAAAGCCCTCAGTGGCATGTTATGAATAGTAGTGAGCTTCCTTATGCAAATTCAAGAGAACTACAAACAGCTAGAATAAATATCATAGGCAGTTCCACAGCCTTGAAGGACTTGCCTTTCCCCTGAGGGTTATACAGATAAAGCCTGCTTTGCCAACTGCTATACCTCACGGTAAATGAGGCCTTAGGAAAGGCAGCCAGTCGAGAAAAGCAGTGTATGCGGATGAGATTAGATATTCTGGGAGCATACACAGATAAAGCCCCAGAGCTACAAAAAAAAAAAAAAAAAAAAAAAAAAAAAAAAAAAATCAAAAGATAGGTTGAGAATGATGCTGACTGTGCACTCAGTTACATTTTGTGACAACAGAAATACATACCCAGAGAAGAAAATAGTTCAGGCTGTGACATTTACAACCACATAAAAGTCCTATGTCTAAAAATCAACCTGACAAACTCTTTAAGACTGTACAGGAAACTAGAAAGCATTCTGAAATTAAGAGAGGCCTAAGTAAAGGCAGCCTACTGCACACTCAGGGATTTGGAAAATTCAATGCTGTTCTACAAATGTAAGTTCTGCCCCACTGTGTCTACGAATGTAACCAAATCCTCACCAGGCTTTTGCTTTTGTTATTGTTTGATATTTGCCAGATGGATCCTAAAAAGCAAATGAGAAGCAGACATGGAGTAGTTGGGGGGTTCTGAAGAAGAATGGCGAGAGGCGGTCCCGAAAGACTGGCTGGAGCAGGCCTGGAGCGCACCCAGGGAAGACCCTTCAGAGACTCAGGTCGTAGGGACAAAGGGAGAGTGGCTGACCAGAAAACCAGGCAGGTGTGCTCCCACTCGGCGGACTGTGTACCTACGTGTGAAAAAGGTCCCAGAAGACAAGTGCAGGCAAATTAAGACTGTCTGTGATTAAAAAAAAAAAAAAATCACCATGGGAAGGGACTGCCTCGCACAAAGGGATGTCAGAGTAGGTGACATAAACACTACAGTCACCAGGAAAGACAGATGGTAGAGCATCTAGAACAGCGGAAACCTGTCCTCCACCTCTCCCTTTCTGGTCTTTCTGGGGCAGGGGCAAGAGTCCCAGGGCTGTTCCAGCGTCCAGCATGACAGCCGATGGAGAAGACATCAGCAAAGGAAATAGTGGGCGGTGTCTCCACTAGATCCCCAGCCCTTCAGGTTTTTGTGTCTATCCCCACTAACAGCGACAACCCTGAGTGCCATAAACTTTAACACATTTACTAATACGGCCTATCCCTTCATGGCCTGCATCACCAGGCCTCATATCTGGGTCCCTGGTAACCTCTCCACCTGCCCTTGCTTTTATGTGCCCTGCCCCATGGATTCTCCCCCACTCTTTGTAGGTATATGAATGACTTCAGGATGACTACTCTCAGGGAAGTTACTGGAAACTCAAACCAAGATGTGCCCATGGACATATTTTATTTTCTTATGTGTATGAAAACATACATTAATGGGCGATTTGATCCATCTCCTATTTGTGGCACTTATGCCACATGCTATAAACAGGTATAAACATATGCATGTTGGACAGAAGCTGCATAGAGTAAAACCTGTGATTTAAAAATTTGGAAAATAGCCGTGCAGTGGTGGCACATGCCTTTAATCTCTGCACTTGGGAGGCAGATGCAAGCAGAGCTCTGTGAGTTCAAGGCCAGACTGGGCTACAGAGTGAGTTTCAGAAAAGGTGCAAAGCTTTCCAGAGAAACCCTGTCTTGAAAAACCAAAATAAAATAAAATAAAATAAAATAAAAGAAAAGAAAAGAAAAGAAAAGAAAAGAAAATAAAGAAAAGAAAATTGGAAAATAGTTGGCTGGTGGCAGCTCATGCCTTTAATCCCAGCACTCGGGAGGCAGAGGCAGGCAGATCTCTGTGAGTTCGAGGACCAGCCTGGTCTACAGAGCTGGTTCCAAGACTGCCAAGGCTACACAGGAAACCCTGTCTCAAAAACAAAACAAAGCAAAGCAAAACTGGAAAATAAATGCTCATGTGACCCCCACCAGCACCTCATAAATCACTCATGGGTACTTCGATGGTCATATAAGTGGTCTTTTCATCCCCATGTCTTCAATTAAAAAAAAGTATTATTTTTTAACTATTTATTTCTTGTCTTATTAATGCCATGTGCCTTTTCTTATGTGAATGTACATGCAGCATGTGCATACAAGAGCACCAGATCCCCTGGAACTGGAATTACAGATGTTTCTGAGATGACGTGTGTGAGAGAACTGGACCTGAGTCCTCTGGAAGAGCAGTGCACATTCCTAATGGCTGAACTGTCTTTCCAGCCCCCAAATGTCTTCTATTGATAGGTTACAGAGAAGCAGTAGCCACGTGAGTGCTCTCAGAGATGTGGGGAGCTGCCTGCCACATCCTCCAAGCACGGGCTGATGAGGAAGATGTTAAGAAATGACAGCCCCTGTGTCTTTCTTAGGGTCCTCTTTACTAGGTAGCCTCCCTGGAGTTGTGAGTTGCAGTCTGGTTATCCTTTGCTTTACATCTGAGGAGGGATTATATGAGCAAGAGATATCGAGACCATGATTGGAAAAAAGCATAGGGACAAATAGCCAAACTAGTGGAAACACATGAACTGTGAACCAACAATTGAGGAACCCCCATGGAACTGAATCAGGCCCTCTGGATAAGTGAGACAGTTGATTAGTTTGAACTGTTTGGGAGGCCCCCAGGCAGTGGGACCGGGACCTGTCCTTGGTGCATGGGCTGGCTTTTTGGAACTTGAGGCCTATGCTGAGACACTTTGCTCAGCCTTGGTGCAGGGAGGAGGGGACTGGACCTGCCTCAACTGAATGTACCAGGCTGGGCTGACTCCCCAGGGGAGACCTTGCCTTGGAGGAGGTGGGAATGGGGGGTGGATTGTGGGGGAAGGCTGGGGGGTGGGAGGAGGGAGGACAGGGGAATCCACGGCTGACATGTAAAATGTAATTATAAAATAATAGCCAAACGAATGGAAACACATGAACTATGAACCAAAGACTGAGGGGTCCCCAACTGGATCAGGCCCTCTGAATAGGTGAAACAGTCGATTGGCTTGATCTGTTTGGGAGGCAACTAGGCAGTGGTACGGGGTCCTGGGCTCGTTGCATGAGTTGCTGTTTGAAACCTGGGGCTTATGCAGGGACGCTTGGCTCAATCTGGGAGGAGGGGACTGGACCTGCATGGACTGAGTCTATCAGGTCAATCTCAGTCCTCGGGGGAGACCTTGATCTGGAGAAGGTGGGAATGGGGGTGGGCTGGGGGGAAGGGGAGGGGGCCAGGAAGGGAGAGAACAAGGGAATCTGTGGCTATTATGTGGAACTGAATAGTATTGTAAAATAAAATTTAAAAAATTAAAAAAATAAAATAAAAACATTTATTTAAAAAAAAAAAAGAAATGAAAGCCCCATAGGAAGTTACTGTTCTACCAAAGGGGCCAAATATCCAGGGAGGTACAAGCTGAAGCTGCCATTGAACACCACCATGAGCTTGGTGGAGACAGACAGCAGGCAGCAGGCAGGGCATGGAGCCAGAGGGTGTAGCCTCTGATAAAAACAGAGGTATAAGCGCTTTAAAACTGGTATCTCCATGAACCCCGTGGCCCAGCAGCCTACCTAAGGATGAGCCCCAAGAAATACATTATTTCCTGCAGTGCTATATATGCCATCATTTTTTAATGAATCTCTCCCCTGCAGTTTTTAAAATAACCACCCCCGCCACACACACTTAAAAATCCCTTTGCTTCTTGTCTTCGCTGTTCTGCAAATGTGCAGTGGTTCTCTTGTCTCTGTGTTTAGATGCCGAAGGAGAAACAATGGAGCACACAAGTGTATTTGGCTCATGGTTTCAGGGTGGGGAGGGCATGGCTGCGCTGACAGAGGAATGTGGGCTGCTAGTTCATGTCTCAGTGTACCTGGTAGAGAGCACTGGATGGGGCTACTCAGCTCCTGGTCTCCTTCCCTCTTATTCCACCCCAGGCCCCAGCCTTGGTGTGTTGTTTTTGTTTTTTGCTGTGTAACGTAGGATGTGTTGAACCCCCAATAACCCCGAGTGTCCTCATCTCTCATTCTTGTCCATGGTCTTGTCTAACCTTCCAGCTACCTGGTTAGGATCAGCTCACGCTTCTGCATGTGCTCGGCCCTCCACTGACCTCCATCTACACTCTGTGCCCACTGTGGGGTCCCTGTTCACTCGGACCACCATTCATTTTTCAGCTGACCCCCACTCCAGCTCAGGGGCAGCACCCTTCTGTGGCAGCACTACTTCCAGGACCAGCATGCTGTTTCTGATCTTGACCTTTGGAGAGTGACCTTCAGCTGACAGGGAGTCTCTTTCCCCATTTCAGGGCCTACGTAGGTGAGAACCTTATCAACACCCTGCAGGGTACCTAGAGGCTGGCAGGGCTTCAACATCACTGTAGGACGTTTCTCTTGGACACTGCACATCATCCCTCCTACTCCGTACAGGCTGCCCAACTCTGTGAATCCTGTGTGAAGTCCCTCCACCTAAAACTCCTCATTTCACCATCCTACAGAGCTGGCCATCCCAAGACCACTTGGTTTCTGAGCAAGCCTTGTACAGGATTAGCTGTGTGCAGGCCCTGGGGTCATGGACTGCAATGAACATCTGATAAAGGTCCCCAAACCTCTGGGTGACACCTAGACCCTGCTTGGAATGTGGACAGAAGATGAAGCTGAGCTGGGCACATGTTTTAATGAAAGTTCACAGATACAAGAGCTTGGAGCAGGGGTCACAGCTTGGAGGAAGTTGGGGTCAGGAGTGAGGGAGCCCCAGGTGCTGGCAGCCCCTATTCCGGGAGCTCCCACATAAGCCCTTCTTGCTGGGTGTCAGGTCTGAGGGGAGCAGGAACCTGGGTGGGGTGCACAGGTCAGGGAGGGCAGCCACTGGCAGCCAGGCAGCATTGTGAGAGGGTGCCCAGAGACCCAGTGACAGCAGGATGGGGGCAGGAGGCAGATAGGAGGCTGGGAGGAGTGTGCCACTCCACTGGGCACTCAGCTTCTGGTGGCCTTGCTGCCATGCATGGCTCTGGGCCTTGGTAGGAGCCCATTCTGCCCCATACTGTCAGCATCCTGAATCTCTGTGACCATCAGTATCAGCATTGTGTCTCCAAGGCCACTGCCTGCTGGGCTCAGTAGTCAGTGAGGGGGTACCGCAGGAAAATGAAGATGAGGATGATGCAGGAGGCTGCCAGCGCAGAGCTGGTGATGTTAAACAGCCGTGCTGTCTTGGCATCTTCCACGGCTCCATTCAGGTCATTCAGGAGCTTCTTGTCCCGAACCTGGAGGCAGAAGGAGGAGGAAGAGAGGCAGAGGTCAGAGGATGTGGTGGGTGGAGGTCAGCAGAGAAAGAAAGACAGAGGTCAGTTCAGGAGGAGGAAGGAAAACAGGAGCTGTCAGAGGAAGCAGGAGGAGAAGGCCAGCAGAGGAGAGGGGACAGTGGTCATCATCAGAGGAGGAAGAGAGGCAGAAGTCAGGAGAGGAGGCAGGGCAGAGGTCAGCAGAGGAATGGGGATAGAGGATAACACAGGAGGGAACTGAAGCCAGTCAAGAAGGGTCTGGAGATAAGAGAAGGAGGGGATATGGAGACCAGAAGAGGGGTAAGAGGTCATCGGTGGAGGTAGACAGGGGTCAGTAGAGGAGGGAGGTTGGAGTGTTGGGGAGCAGGGATGTGAGAGTCGGGTAGTCTCAGGACCTCTGTCTTGCAAGCACCCACCCTTGGTTTGGGGAACATAGTCAATGAGAAACTCATCCTTCACAGTTTGTAAAGTAAATAGTGTCTAGTCAGAGAAGGAAATGGGGAACAAAGGACACAGGTACCCTGTGAAGGATGCCCAGGACTTTCTGTTTTATTTTGTGCAACTGCTCAATGAGTTTGAAGTGATCTAACATAAAAGAGGAAGGTGACCCCGGAGACAGCGGATGCATGGTGAATAGGATTGTGACACCAGAGACAGGGGGTGTGGGATGTGATGACATGTGTGTCCAGTGTGTTGTAATTGATCAGTTCTGCCTAGCTAGGCATTAACTAGTATGCTGAGTGGACAAGACATCCTAGGGAGATGGGGACAGAGCTGGCCATTTCTAAGAGGCTACTTGGTCAGGGCAGACACGTCCTAGGACAGCCCCCTTGTGCTCCATAATCCAGTGAGTGCCAGCTGAATATGATGCCAGCTGGAAGCAGAGCCTAGAAGAAGATGGAAGTAGAAGATGAGCACAGGAGGAGATGGCGATTGCCGTATTCATGGACTGGGTTTGGTTGAAAGAAGGAAGGAGGGCAGAAAGACACTTGGACTGGCTGATGGCAGAGTCAGGGAAGGAGTTACCTGAGGAGGAAGTGTGGTGGGAGGAAGGGGGGTACATGGGAATGGGGTTGGGGTATGGACAGGCAGAGGACATCTGGAGCCTGCTGGGAGGAGGGATTGAAGCAGAGGGAGGAGCAGTAAGGCCAGGGAGAGGAGGAGGTGTGCGATGGGTACCCAGCAGTGGGCAGAGGGGGCAGAGGGGGGGGGGCAGGACAAGGCTGGGGCAGAGTAAGAGGAAGGGAAGGGACCCAGCAAAGGGCAGGGGGTGACTTGGAAGGTGGGTTATGCTATGTGTGAACTGGATGGAGAAAGTATGGCAAGAGGGGCTGAGGAGTCAGGAGGGCCGGGGTGGGAGCAAGGCTCTGCCAGAGCTCTGGTGATTTGGGAGGGAGCCAACATGTCCGTCACCAAGAATGAGGTGTGTCCCCGTTCACTTAGCTTGCACGGTTTGAGTGAAGTATTTGACAAAGTTTTATCATTTTCTCCAGAAAATTAAATCCTGTCTTGCCTCGGGTTTGGTATTAGCCTACTTGTTTTCCAACCACAATGTAAAGCCCTTCCCCACAGCTGCTTGCTGTAGACGCTGGATCTCTAGCAAGGAAGATTCTATCCCGTTCAACTGTTCCCCCACCATCATTAGACAGGTGTTCTCATGGATAAACCAGCTGTTCTACTTCCTCTTGCAAGCCCCTCCTCCAGGCCGCAGCCGTGTTAGGGAAACTCTGGGCCCGGGTTTCCCTCCGCAGGTGCCCACTGGTAACCTCGCAGAGTTAATGGGCCCTGTTGCCTCTCCTAGTGCCTGCCTGTGGCATGAAGACAGTAAAGTGTCCACCTCACAGTGTTGGGAAAGGCCGTGGTTGGGCTCATGTTCCTGGCACAGCTTCTTGCTCATACACTCCTATGAGGAAGACAAAGATGATTCTAGAACAATGCTGACTAGCAGAGGGTATGCAGAAGAGCCTTGGCTCACCCTTGTTCTTTTTTATTTTATTTTTAAGAAAATAAGTATTTATTCTTTTACAGTTCTAGAGGCTAGAAGGTAGCTATAAATATAGAAGTGAATATCAAGTGAACAGTGTGGATGGGCAGGTGAACTCTCTCTCTCTCTCTCTCTCTCTCTCTCTCTCTCTCTCACACACACACACACACACACACACACACACACACACACACACACTTGCACGCGCATGCCAGCTAGCTTAGGCAAGCAGGGCCTCTGGTGTTTTGATGTGTGTTAGATGGACCGGAGAGGCAGTAGGTGAATTGTGTCATATGTTACATGAGTGGGGATAGGTACACAGAGGGGCGTATGTCAGATGGAAATAACAGGAATGACAAAGATATGGGTGGATGCTTGTTGCGGGGGCAGGTAGACAGGTGGGTGTGTGAATATGTGAGTGTGTTCTGGATGAGTGGAGCAGGTGGTGTGAAGAGAGAAAATATGTTGGTTGTGTAGGGTGTGTTGGATGACTGGACAGGTACATGGGAAACAGTAAGGTATTTTATGTAGTTAGGATGGATATCTAGCTAGAAGTGTACTGGATGGGGAGGGCAGGTGGGCAGATAGGTTTATGGAGGAGTGTCTGATGGTTGGACTGGTACATGGGGTATAGTAGCGCATGTTGTATCTTTGGGAAGGATTCTTGATATGCATGCTGGACGAGCGGAATGGGTAGATAAACAGGTTTAGGATTACATGTGGGATGGGTGAGGGGAAAGAGGGGGGAGGTTAAAAGAATATATCATTGACTACTGAATGAGAGAGAGGCACAGGGATTTTGAAATCCATTGATCAATCAGTCAGTCAATCTTTACTTAGTGCCTGCTCTGGCATCCTGGGTGTGTAACAGCAGCCATGCATAGCCCAGCTGTGCCCTGGTGTGTAGCAAGGAAAAAGACAAGCCTCCATCCTCATGGTTCACAGACCAGGAGAAGAGTCACAAGGCACAGGGCAAGCAAGGCAGGTGTTCACAGGATAAGGAGGCTAGAGAGACATCTGAAGATGCCAGAGGTCGATGGTGTCTTAGGAGATCCAGTCTCAGCAGATACCCTAGAAAGACTTCATTGAGTGGATGTCTGTCACCAGATCAGTGATGGGTTTGGTCCCTTGGCGGGGGGCGGGGGGAAGCACATCAGGTGGAGGGAGCAGAGTCCCATGAGGGTGGCTGAGGCCAGCCTGGGGCTGCTGTTGGAGGTCAGAGCACAGACAAGTAGGGAACAAGAGAAGCTGTCGAGAAGATGGTGGGGCTTTGTGAGGGTTTTTTAGAGTGACATAGAGTCAAGAGAAAGGGAAGGCTGGACAGACTCTAACAGAGCCCTTGGCTAAGGATTCAGGTCAGACAAGGAGGAGCCAGAGTCTGGCCTGGAGATCGGAAGCTCATTCATCAACCGAGGGACACGGGTCTAGTAACATGAACAAGAGCTGTGGAGTGAAAGTGAGGGGGCAGATGGGTTCTGGATCTGTGATAAAGGCAGCTCTGACAATGCTGAGTTCCACGTGGCGGATGATGAGGAGGCGGGGCTTGAGATGAGGAGGCCTTGAGGATAAACTAAAAGTGAGTTGCAGAAAGAAAACCGGGAGGCCAGGGAGCTTGGCAGTGCGGGTCCCGGCACCAGTGAGAGCTGCTGTTTAGACTTGTGGCTGGACGCCGGGAACAGCAATGCTGCTGAGTCTGGAGTTCAAGGATGAGGTGGAGGGCAGAGATGATCATGTGAAAGGCATCACTGCAGGTGTGACGAGACCACGTCGGGGACTGGAGGAGCTGGCTCCGCAAAGATGAGAAATCCAAGTTCAAAGGCCAGGAAATGGATGTGAGCAGTAAGAAGACTTGGGAGAGTGCACAGAGAAACAACAGGACAGCTAAGAGGAACAAGGGAGCTGGGTAGGGCAGGAGCAGAACACCGGAGAAGCAACCAGAGCAGGAAAGACACACAGTGCTCAGTGGGCCCAAGAGGACAGATAAGATCTGTTGTGGAAAAGAGGAACGGAGGGCTGGTCTTGGAGAGACTGGTGGGAAGTTGGGGAAGTTGATCAAAGTAAGTAGGGGAAGAAGGTAAGTACATTAGACGAGATGGGCAGATGAGCGGGGCAGTGAATGGGCCTTTTGGTGAATGTTCCATGAAGGGAAGGGAGGAAGGACAGGCCCTGGCTTGGCAGACCAGGGGGTGCTAGCTCATCCCCTGGCGCTGAAAGAATAGGAAAGGTAAGCTGATGGGGGACCAAATGGTCAGGAAGTACTGAGCTCTGGGTACGTACTCCACCAACTTACACAATGAAGGTTCTGGCCCCCGGTGATGGTAGGAGGTGAGGCCTTTGAGGGTGAGGCTCTCACATAGAAGGGGCCCCAAGAGGCCTTTAACCATTCCACCACGTGAGAGATGTGAATAGCCTACAGCCCAGCAAAGTGCAGACCTGACCGGAGCCTGACCGTGCTGAGGCCTGGTGAAGTTCCAGTCAGCAGAACTGTGGGGAAAATCACACATGGAGAAACTCTTCACACGTGCAGACCAAGGCAGGTGACTCAGATGGGGGCTGCATGAGTAGCGGGTACAGACACATGAAGCATGGGAAAGGGGGGTGACATGGTAGGTAGCCAGAGGCTACGTGAGTGAGAGGAGGGAGGGGAGAGGCTGGAGGGCGCATGGACAGGGCTTTTAGAGTGTATGGTGAAACGTATGGGTAGAGTGGTGGGGTGGGTATTTAGAACAGACAGGGCAGAAGGGAGTAGGCTTCACTTGGATAGAAGAACGGAACAGTTGAGATGGGAAGGAAGTACGGGAAAGTAGACAGAGAGGGGCTGGGGATGTAGCTCAGTTGGGAGGGTGCTTTAGCATGCACAGAGCCCTGGGTGTGATCCCCAGCACCTCAAACGAATGGGTGAATGTGCTGATACACACCTGCACTCCCAGCACTTAGGAGGTAGAGGCAGGAGGACCAGGAGTTCAAGGCCATCCTTGGGTGAGTTAGAGGCCAACCT